TGATAGTTGGAAACATGCCAGAGATAAATGAATTCAAGGAAAGTATCAAGAAAAGGTTCAAAGTCAAGAACCTAGGCCCAGCAAGCCATATCTTATCCATGCAAATATGCAAAGAAGAAAATGGATCATACACACTAGATCAAATCGCTTATGTATCAGAGATCCTAGAAACATTTAAAATGACTGAAGCAAAATGTGCATCAATGCCACTGGACCCCAGCATAAAATATAAGAAGGTAGATGAACAGCAGTGGGAGGAAATCAAAGAAAACAGCAAGGAAATTCTTACAGACAAGCTATAGGAAGTCTACTTTATCTGACTTGTGGTTCTCGCCCAGAAATGGCTTATTCTTCCACCTATATCAGCCAATTTAATGAAAAACACACTGAAGAACACTGGAGAGGTGTGAAGCACATTCTAAGATACCTAACGAGAACACGACACAGAAAGTTGAGGTTCCAGAAGACAGGTGTGCCACTTCAAGTCTACTCAGATGCTGACTGGGGAGGTGACAGAACTGACCATAAATCTTACAGTGGTTATATAATGCTACTCGCAGGTGCTCCAATCTCATGGTCAAGCAAGAAGCAACCCACAACAGCTATATCGTCAACAGAGTATGTGGCAATGTGTCACACTGCCAAGGAAATCCTATGGATTTAAAATTTGATCAAGGAAATCTGTAGTGAATTCACCTAGCTTCCCCTCAAAGAGCTGCTTCACCTCAAAAAGTGCTAGTCGACAACCAGGGAGCAATATTCCTAGCCAAGAACTATGTTACTTCTGAAAGAAGTAAGCACATCAATATTAAATTTCATTTTCTGAGAGGCCTAGTGAAAGAAAATGTGATTGTATTTGATCATGTGCCATCCAGCGACAATCTCGCTTATCTCCTAACTAAGCAGACTTCGAAAAAATTTTTACGTGACATGAACTAAGTCAGGACTTGTATGTAAAAATGATCTCCTTCGAAGTTTGTGACTGACCATAAACCATTATGGTTGTAACTGTGTAGAAATTTGACTTAAAACTCCAGAAAGAAGCTTAGATACTAATTTTTCTTACTTATTTCTATGTAAATATTGTGTTTCCTAGTATAACTCAATATGTGTTCATTTAATGACACAATTCATAAGTAGAGGTCAATAGTGTTTAAGCATGTAATAGCAGCTACATTGTTTTTCTGTAAATGTGTACAACCACAGCATGATTAATTTTTTATGGAAGTATCTTGCACATAGTGTGATTGTCAAAAGGGCGTGTTAAAAAAATAAGATATGCATGCCAATTACAATATTTACTTAATGTTAGTTGGCAACAGTAGTGTTGTCCTTATCTGGTGTGCATTACTGTGGATGCTCATTTCCATGTAACCAAAATATTCCCAATATATTTGATTGTTCAACCTGGAGTATGCCATTTATTTAACACACGAACAATTTAAATTTTAACACCATTAACCAGGTGTCATTTCCATCCAAAGAAATGTTCAAAAGAAAAGTTTTCCTGTCTTGTTACAAAAACCTACCGTTGAAAAAATATCCTGCTAACGCTTTGAACAATTTATGAATACACTTTTTACAATTTCAAATATAAATGAATTACAAATAAAAATACTTAATTATTGATAGCTTAAAAACAAAACCTGAATACACCTAACAATTTGCGACATAACAAACTTACTCACTTCCATATGCTTAGTATCTGATAATTTAACCGTATGCTGCTCACTCTCCATCAGCTATTGGAGAGCTTGGCGAGTAAAAATGCAACAGCTTCTTTGCAAAAGAAAACCCAACATTCTGAATACCTCTTTTTTTTAAGTAAGCAGATTTTAAAAAAGATGATTAAAAGAACAATGTGAAAGGAGAAAAAAAATGCTAATGCTTAATAACTGACATTTGCAAATAAAATTGAGAAACAAAAGTCTTCAAAAACAAATGTAAGCCACTCTAAATCAAGAGTGATCTATTCTTTTAAATTTCTAACAGAAGGATTAGTACAGTGCAAAGTCCGAGATCCTGACTTCCGGGATTCCTGATTAGGGATTTTGAAGGATATTAGGTCATCAGTTTAAATCTAACAAGATAGCATGTAGAAATTCTAAAATTAAAAATATGAAATTGTGATTTATGAAATAATAATGCATTTATGATCAAAATCATAAATGCTTCAAAATTACAAAAAAAGAGTATTAAAATTTAAAAAAAAAAAGCTTATTATTTATTAGTTAAAACAAGTTATTAGTTAAGATAAGTTATTAGTTAAAATAAGTTTATTAGTTAGGATATAAAGTATTATAAGATATAAAATCAATGACGCATATATGTAGAATGTTTCGGTTTGAGATGTATACAAAGCAGATACGGATTGGAGCCAAATTCTCAATCGTACAAAATTTATGCTACAATGACTGTTTCTTCAACAACAAGGTACAGCCAAATACCGAAAATCCGCGAACTATTGAAATCTGTGTTGCCTCTCAAAATATAAACATTCAGTTTATAGGTTCCAGAAACCGCAACATTGAGTACGAAATATCGAAGAAAAAATACCTACTGAATAACGACGTCATAACGGAAATTATTGACATAATAATTGACAAATAAAAATGTTTAAAAAATAAGATAAAAGTTTTTTCCCTCTAATCTCTGCATCGAGATAAAAAAGCAGACGTTTCACTCAACTCTTCGTTCAAGTTCACGATTCATGTTATTGTATTTTCTGAGCTTTGTTATTTCAAAAGTTTGTTTAGTGCGGCCTTTTTTTTTTTATACTGATATTTTGTAGATAAACTAAGAATATTTTAAATTTCAGCCCTTTTTAATACAATGACAGATAAGAAATGCACTTATGATTTTACTGCTTGCAACATTGAAAAATGTAAACAGGTTGCATTGACGGTAATGCAAAAAATGCAAATTCTGCAAAAGATGGAGGCAGGTGCTTTAGAGCAGAATGGTATGGAATTGCGACACCATTGTGTGTGATATACGGAAAAATAAAGAAAAGCTGTTGATATTTTATAGCAACAGTGATTCTAACACCAGAATCCAAAAATCTTTACATGAGGTGAAATCGGCAAACCTCGATGCTGTGTAGTACATATAATACAACGAATAATACAGTCAAAAGTCGTTAATCTGGACTCGTCGGCACTTCAGCGATTCCGGATTATAAATCATCAGTTTAAATCTGGTAAGATGGCATGCAGAAATTCTAAAATTAAAAATATTAAACCGTAATTTATGAAATGAAGAACAATTATGATTTAAAGGGTATCAAAATTTACAAAAAAAAAAAAAAAAAAAAAAAAAAAAAAAAAAGCTTAATATATTATTTGTTTACTTTATTAAACATTTCTTTCAATGTAAGTTGTTTATGTTGCTTCGTTTTATGTGATAATACTTTCTCTTTAATTCTATCAACAGACATAATTTCTTGTTCAGTTACAAAGTTAAGCTGTTCAAGTCCTATAATTGCTGTGTCGAGAATACCGACAAATTTGTCAATCGAAATTTTTTCGTTTTCAATAACCTCTGTGTCACTTTCTTGACTATCGGAAGCGAATTATAATGACGAGGAATTTGATTTAAATCATATCAAAGACGGAGTAAATCGAGATGAAATATTACATTTAGTAAGGAATTATAAGCCAAATAAAATAAAAACATCTGCCCAGAAGATAAGGATAGTGTAGACAGAACAACTTCCAATTCATAGCGTGCCGTGGTGTCCCCCCCCCTGCAGAGCAGCACGAAATTGATAAACAGATTTCGGAATGGTTAGAGAAACGAAGGATATGCCTTTAGATATTTTTTGCAGCAATTCCCCTTTTTGTTTAATGGACTTCGAAACATACTTTTGCTTTGTAGATCCTTTACATATTAGTAAATATATATCGGAAATTCTATTTGACATAATCGAAAGTTCAAGCTTACTTTTATAAAATTGCTCTAACAGTCTGCAAAAAATAATAAGCCGGATCCAATTCGAAGATTAACGAACAACGCAATCTGCAACATTAACTGAATTAGATAATTTTAGCTTAGCTTATACCGTCCGTTATACATTAAACGCACATGCGTAAACGTATTATGCGCATGTGCACACGCATATTCGCAGCCGTAAAGGTCTTACGCGCACGCGTCAACGCGATGCATGCATAGAAACTTTGCAGCTTTGAGGTCCGGATTATGGGTGTCCGAATTAACGACTTTTGACTGTATGATGCAATAACATTTTAATGCATATAATAAATTATTACAATAATGTATATAATAATTTAATTAAATGTATCTAATATGCCTTAATAATTTTCACTTTTAGTCCAAATATCATGCTTTATCTTTTCTATCGTGAAATCCGCACAACGTCTGGTCCCATGCTTTGCGGATTTCTGCACTTCTACTGTATTTTATTTAATGCCGAATTTGGACTCTCTACATGTTTTATTATGCGTGGGGCAGGGAATCAAATGTGCACGTGTAAAACATAGGAAAAAAATTGGACGCCCGGATCTCATACTTTGTACTGCAGAAGTTTAGCAGAATATCTGCCAGCTTTCATAGACATTCATCGACAGGAAAATACATAAATACCAGAAAAACATATCCATTTCTTTCAAAACATATAGATTTCTTATTAAACCAATGTAAGTCTTAGACTGAATTTTGTTTAATTTAAAAAACACTCACTGATTCGTTAGTTGTTTTATGATTTGACATATTTACAATATTACTATTACGTATCTCCTCCATTAATAAGTGTGCAAACTGTTATTTCATTTTTAAGTAGCTTGTTATCTGAAGTTAGCTTTTAAACAGAGATATTCACACACACATAGGTTATATTTATTTTACAGAAAAAAAAAAAAAAAAAAAAAAAAAAAAAAAAAAAAAGAACAGGTTCATCACTGAACATACAGAAAAATATATGCAACACACTTAAACACATGTAAGTTTACAACTGGCATGACATATAAATAAAAACTACATACTTTTTGACTAGAAATATTTCTTTCTTTTTTCTTGTGTCTGCCTTTCTTTTTAGATCTTGATAATGAATTCCTAATCGGAGGAAATGCCTGCAGAAAAACAACATAAAACTTTAAAAAAATATATTCCTACGAAAAGAAAAATGAAACATACATTTTTGCGTAACACAGATACAGTTTTAAGTTATATCAAGACTTAGCCTACGTCTTCATCATTAGTTTTATTAAGTTTTAGTTCTTCTTCTTTTTTCCTCATTTCTTTTTCCCAATTATCTAAATCCATTAAATATTTCTGTAGATCCTCAGAATTTTCTCGCATTTGGTTTTGAATATCAAGAACATTTTGATCACTCATTTCGTAACAGTTGAGTAACAACTTGAACACATTACTTCTTACCGCGAAATATTTGGATACCAAACTTGTATGAAAACGCAAATTACTAAAATATTGCCACTAGTAGAATACTTATTTAAAATTGAATTTTCATTAACTCTAATAAAAGTGTTATCGATTTAAAATGTAATTATAAATTCTGAATAATATGTTAATTCACTACCTTATTTTTGATAATGTAAGTCACACGCGTTGTCTGCTTCATACGTTACTATAAATTCTGAATAATTTGTCAACTTACTACTTTGTTTTTGATAATGTAAATTACACAGGTTGTCTGTTTTATACGAAACTATAAATTCCGAATAATTTGCAAGTGATAATTTGGTTCTTAAAAATAAAAGTACCAACTTCTCATTATGTTTATTATTTTAAATTATTTGCAAATATCCTTCAACAACATTTCTTGTCAGACAAATTTGTTTTTGTAAGACGCAAATTAAATGAATATTTTCATAAAACTTTTTACAATCAACTGAAACTAATCAAAGTAATATTACATTAATCTACGTTTTCTTTGCTTTAGGAAAAAGGATTTAACTAGTGCAAAACAAGACATTTTCCTCTCTGTCTGTCTGTCTAAGCGTTTTGAATTTTTTCGGACTGTTTTCGTTTCTCTTTTGAGTATTTTACATGTAGTTTGTATTATTATTTCCTCTTTGTAAATAAACTGAGAGTATGGATAGCCCAGCTGAGGTAAATATGCTGTTTCCTTAAGTATTAAATATAAATACTTTGATTTGCAGGAGAATTGAAAGTAGTCTTCAACCGGCATTATTTGTAGTTTCCTTCTGTCTAATAAGTCATGCCAAATTGTTGTTTTACAGTGCTTAATATGTTTATAGTTTACATATGTTGCCATATTCTGTTCTTTCTTATGAATCCAGAAGATAGTCATTGCTTTATAGTACTTAATATGTTTAGGCTAAGATGCCATATACCGTCCGGGATACACGTGATTGCCAGATGTAGCGATATTTTGCGTTGGATGGTTTAGTTTAGATTATTTTTGTATGGCAACCATTTTTATGTGGAAACTTTTATGGGGAATATGGTTTTATTTCATCATGATGTTGGTTACATCTTGAATAATGGCTTATAGTTCCATGAAGGAAGTTATTGAGTGATATCAGCCACATGTTTTAGAGTGTAATCAAGCTAAATTTAGTTCGAGAAGATATGTTGATGGTCTATGACATTTTGAAGGTGAATCTCGTCTAAGCAGAAGCTGGACTCAAGGATTAGCAACAATAACAGATATGTTGTTGGAAGTTATTAAGGAAGCATTTGTCCATGGTTGTCTTCATGCTGAAAGAGGTGTTTTTATGGGGTACAGGATTTTTGAAGCTAAATGTGACATGTGAGCGGCTCTCATAGTAAGATTCGGAAGAAAAATTGTGTTTCTGATGGATTTGCAGAAAAATTGTTGAGGGTACAGAATGTGGTTCTGAATGAAGTTTGAGGTTTGGATTCTGGTTTTCCTTCAGTAAGTTGACTTTAGAGGAAATTTTGGTAAAATCCTAGGAGTTCCCACACCTTTGGCAAGTGCAGAATCGCCCACTGCTTCGCGCGTTTCTCAAAATCGCCATTTTAAAATAACAACTCAAAGAATTGCAGAAACTCGGTATCCATGTACACATTGACCTATTTCCACTTAAAAAAACATCCCAAAATTGCACAAACTTGGCACTGCACCCTCCCTTGACCATGTACACATCGATATGCACCAAGCGTGTGGGCTCTGCTAGGATCCAACCGGAAATTTTTATTGTAACATTTGAAATTTTGAATCCTAGAAAGATGTCTAATGTAGCTAAGTTGTGGCATTTTGGTTCACATGCTTTCTGTGATTGGCGTTGTTTTACTAATGAAAGCATATTTTATTATATATTTGATATGTCTGTCCTTACAAGTTTTTATTTGAAATTAAAATTTTGTTTTTTTTTTGGAGAACTATTTTGAATGTTAAGTGAATTTGCTTTATTATTGTTTTAATTTTGTAGTTAGTTATTTTAATTGTTGCATTGCTTTAATTTTGTGTTATTTTTTTAATTTATTTGTGTTGAATCGTGCAAAAAATGCATTCATGAACATATTTCAAAAGATACAAAATGTGAAGATTTAATTAAAAATGACATTTTGTTGTGAATAAATGTAGAAAAGAGCAAAGTTTTCAAGTTTTGAATCATAAGTACATCATTTGGACTGTAGGTCTAGAGAATGATAATAATTGAAGTGGTGAGAATGGAATTGAGGATGAGATCATGAAGTGCAGAGGTATGTGTGAATGCTAGCCACACTGGAGGTGTTATTCAATAATTAGATCTATGTCCTAATGCTTCTACTATGGATTTCTCAGTGATAAAAAATTGATAGAATCATGTAGCAGCTGATACAGTTATAGGATTGTCATAAAAAAATAAGACTACCCCTGACCCCCAAAAATACTTGTAAAAAATTTGACAGAATTCTAAAATTTGCATAAATTTTCATGGAGATTGTTTATTCTAGCTGATCTTAAATATTTTTATTAAGGAATTAAATCTCATATCAGTTATTTTCTAAATAAAGGGGGAGGAATTCTACTAATGAAAGATTTGTTGAAATGTTAGTAGCAGTACTTGTGCACTAAGAATTTCAAATAAGTAATTTTTAAAAAGCCTTCTTGAAAGAAAAATTGGCATGATTTGAAATTTAGTTTATTAACCAAATTTTTGATTAACTGAAGTGGTTACAGTTCCAGTTACCTCAGATAATCGAAGGTGTACTGTAACTCTGAAGTAAATAAGAACATGTTTTGGAGGATTATTTACTAGAAATATACTGCCCTCCAAAAGTTAAAGAACAGCATATTTTTCAAAGCTCACTATTATAAAAATGTCAGTAACTTTTAAATTCACAGTTCATATGCATGACAGTAACAAAGTTTAAGAAAATATATGCAAAAACAATAGCTACCACTTTTATTTTATAGAAATGAATACTTATATAGGAGTTGGAGAAAAAAATGCCAAAATTGTAATTTTTTTCACAAGTGTTGATTTTTAGTTGTTATTAAAGTTTCATGGACAATATCCAGGAGAGTCTATCAGTGTCCATAAGAAGTCGTTTGTCCGATTCTTTGAGGTGGCAGGCCATCAGATAGATGGAAATGGGGATGTTATAAGCTGATGCTGCTAGACGTTTTAATGTCTCGCGTAGTGTTGTCCACCAACTATGAAATCAGTTTGAAGCTGAGGATTCTGTGTTTAGAAGACATGTTCCAGGCAGACCTAGAGTTACAACACCTGCGGGAGACCCAGGGCCAGATTTAGACTTGATAAGGCCCTAAGCTATTTGAGATATGGTGCTCTTTAAAATTCCAGATATTGTCAGTGCCAAATATAATTTTAAAATACTTAGAGGTTTTTTTCAGCTTCTTTCAGCGGAAGGGTAATTTTTTGGGGGTCTCCAAGCAGTTCTGTGGAGTTGGTAGGGAAAATGACCGACTCCGACTCCTGGAATTTTAACGACTCCGATTCCCTCATATATATGTAAACATATACACATGGGTTACAGCTTATTTTTTTAATGTAAAAGAAGTAATAGATGTTACAGGAAAAGAATTGATCACATAGCAAATTATTTATATTAATTAGCATTTATTACAAAATGGGAAATCTGGCATTAGTTATTTTCCAAGAGACAGTCTTGCCACACTAAAGCAAGGAACATCAATCGTTAATATTGTATAGAGATTCTTCGCAATGGGTTTTGAACTTTTTCGTGAAGAAATCTTCAAAAGAAAAGGACAGTATATCAGCAATTGAAATTACTTCAGTCTATCATGAGATTAAGCACCATCATAGCCAGGATTGCACAAACAAATTGTAAAGCACTCTATTTCCAGATTCTTCTTTGGCAAAAAAGATTTCTTGTGGAAGGCGAAATGTACAATGTATTTGCGAGAGTGTGCTTGCTTTTGCATCTCAAGAAATACTTTTAAATGAGATTTAAGGATTCGGAATTTTTTTCAGGTAGTGACTGGAAAAAACTCTTTTTCTTCTCCCGGATTTTCACAGCAAAGAGGTGGCAACGCTAGGCGTAATAGCATTATGTCTATGGAACCTTTTCTTCTTCACATAGATGTTCTTTGGTTAGAATAATCTCCATGTACGGTAGACACAGGATTTGGCGATATTATGATGAGCAGTAAATAGTTCATTTTGGTGTTGACGTCAATTTTCAAAATTGTGCCAAAGCCTTACCATATATTAGGATTTTTCCGCAAAATATTTTAAATAATGCCTTGTCATTTTACAGTAAAATAAAATAATCAGTCATCTAGGCTAACCATGTAATATAACTATATGCGCTAAAATATTGTTGATTATTCTAATTAATTTTTAAGTAATTTATTTTGAATGTTATCCATATAATTTCATGTTGTTTCTTCTCTCTAAATTTATTTATTATTAGTAAATAATACTTTCAAATTTCAGGAAATTTTCTCTGGCATAATCCTGAAATTAATTCCAGCAGTATGATGACATACCATCATGAAATTTACTGCACATATTTTTTGCTTATGTATGCTGCGAAATAAATATACAATACCTGAATTTATTAAAAAAAATATTAGATTTCATTCTTTCGTTTAGCTGCAAAATGTCTGGAAAAAAAAAAAAAAAAAAAAAAAAAAAAAAAAAAAAAAAAAAAAAAAAAAGCCTTTTTTTTTTTATTCCAGATTGGACAGATCTTCAGTGGAGAAAAGAACTCTTATTATAATAGTAATTAATGGTTTGGGGATGTAAGTCAAATGTAATTGGCAAATTTTTGTGTTTTCAAGTAATACCATAATTAATTTACCTCTTAGCACAGCCAACGTGCATTACACTGATGGACTGGAATTTCTTAAAACACACCAGGCAAACTTGGAAAAGTCAGGGAATTTCATTTCCCTGTTTAAGTGGCAACCCTGGTTTTAGTAAGTTTTAGTAAAACTTTTAACTAACAGGTGAGCGTTTCTGAGGATATTCGGATAACGGCAATTGCGAGGTTCCGGAAATCGAGTTGGGCGATAGGCGCCAAACATTTGGAAGAGTGTTTAGGTTGCCAGCCCAGATGTTAAGTAAGATAGGGAAAAGGAAAGGAATATTTTCTTTTTATATGGTTGTCCATCGATCATTCCTGTACATCGGATTACAGAGTAGCTACAGAAGATATTTCGCTTCAACATTATTTATGTGCTTCTTATGTCGCCTTATTGCATTTTACGAACTTTCAACAAAATTGCCATTTACTTCTACAGATTTGCTAGAAAAATTCTTCCTGTTACAATACTGCCTAAAACCTTACAGTATGCTACTCAATATTTGAAAAATTATCTTCTCATTATATTGGGATAGGGAGTCTTCCCAGGTGCCCACAAACATGAACTCTGCTCACGAAGCCATATGGTGTTGATACTTTGCGTTGGGTGTTGTGACTTAGCAGATAAATCTTTGTGCTGATGATCACATAACTTTATAAGTAGATATTTTTAATTCGCTGTTTAATTATTTTTCAAATAAATTAATTACACTTGTAATTAGAATAAGATAATTTTATTTTTATACAAGAAAATTACAAAATATGCTCTCTTTCCATACTTATATATATGACTCATGTTATCGCATGTGTATTTACATATAATTAATTTCTAGGTAAATTAATTA